CTACTAGATGATTCCCTGGAGAAAGTCGATTTATGGGTAGGTTAAAATTTTTAGTAACATGTGCGATTCTTTTATTTTTTAGTGGTGATTTTAATGAAGCTTTTTTTTGTTTTAATTGACCCCGAGTTATTCTATTGCTACTACTTTCATTATCTATAGCTTCTTGAATTAAATCCCATACAAGAGCAATTCGGAAGTCTTTGCTTGCAATCTTTGTATTTGTAACTTTGCGATAAAGAATAATACTATTAACAAGAACAGTGTCTAATAACCAAAAAAATAAAGGAAACCAAGTACGACGTGCTGTTAATTGACAATTATAGTAACCTCTAAGCTGATCTGCAAGATCAACACCTCCCATATAATTATTATAATCATTAATTACTTGTGGAATAGGCAATGCTTTTCGTGACATATTGCCAAATACCTGACGAACCTTATTTGCATTAGTACTTGTTTTACGAGGGCGTCGTCGATTTCGAATAACTTTCCATTCATCACCCATAATTCCATGAATAGTTGTAAGCATTGTTACAGGCCCATTATCAATCCATAATACTGCTAAAACATTATCTGTAACTACTCCACTTAGTGTATTCCAATCTAATAAATGAGCATTATTAATTTTTAACTCTCTAGGAAATTTTGATGAATTAGTTCGAACAGTTCCACATGCACCTAGATTATTTTCACGTAAATATTTAAAAAGAGAAATACTTGAAAAATAGTTATCCATATAAATATGAAATGTTTTTTCCTGAGGAAGCTGGTTTGCTAAATGACATACTATGCATCCAGCTTTATTAATATTAGTGATTAACTCTAACTCCTTATTATCTTCAACTCGAGAACTAAACATAAATGTATATGTATATCCAGCATCACATAGAGAATATATTTTGTAGCCTTCAGGTATTGGCTTGTTTTTCATTTTTACAGTATGTATACTTCGACCAGAAAAACGAACCATCATTTCATCTACAGAAACTTGTGAACTAGGTACATATAACTTTTTAAATGTATCTCGAAAATGTGATGCTAGTGGCTCTACTTTAGAGTACCAAGTTAAATTAAAACTATTTGGATTAGAAATATGAAGATATCGTTTTATTTGTTCAAATCTATATGTTGACATAAATTGTTTAATACTATGAATAGCTTTTTGTTCATCTGAATTCCACAAATCATCTATATGATAAATTTTGTGAACACCCATATAAATGACTATTGCAATCCAAATTTTTAACTCTTTTAAAGTCAACAAATGCCAAATACGACCACCTTTTTTTAATCTATTAACTCGATTTAACTTTTCATAATTATTAGTATTATTAACAATTAATTGATAATAATAATTAGTAAAAAATAGATGAAACAATGTAAGTGGACTAATAGTGCCTTGCTGTATTTCATATGGCAATGTAGCATAACTTCTATGAAGCTCATTAACATTTTCCATTTGATCAAATTCTGGTAATTCTGGAAGTGTTGGTATTTTATTTAACTTACTATTCTTTCTTTTATTTGTTTTTTCACTCATTTTTTTTTTCCCCTTCCCACCCGCCCTACGTTTTTCATTTCGTTTGTAAGTAGATTTTGCACTTTCTTCATATTCAGAATCCGTGGCATAATCTGTCATAACTAAATCTTCAGAATCTGTGACATAATCTGTGATATAATCTTGTTCTTCGGTCATAAATAAATCTTCATAATCTATTGTGTAATTAATTCTTGTCTCTCCATGATTATTATGCTCAAAGGTAAAATATTGCAAATCAGAAGAAGAATCATCAGCGGCATCATCGTACTCATTATTAGAAGTGTCATTATTAGTACTACTATCACTATCGGCCATAGTATAAGCGGTTTTTTTTTTTTT